CATGCAGACGACTCGCCTGCCATCTGTGGCTTACCATTTAATGGGTTTGGGTAAGTTAGCATTAAGATATTGTGAGGCATTTTGTTCATTTACTCGTATTTCCTTCGTGAAGCGTTTAGCAATTTCGATAGAGTCAAGTGACTATTATCACACACAGAGATCACACTAACGTGATGCATCAAATGAACAAATCCACAAGGGCCGTGACGAGGATTCGAACCTGCGTCCGGGAGCATCCCAGACACTGCCTTAATCGACTGAGCTACGACAGGGTAGCTACGACTACGACTATTATATTCAATCAAGAGCGAGTGGAAATGTGATAACATTTCTTGAAGAGAATGTGAGCTAAAGCCACGGAGCTACTCGAAGGCAAGCCAGGACTTCATTCAACAAAGCCAGGATCGGCTTACGTGATCTTATAAATCCCAAAAGCCCCAAAGCCGCAAAAGTCTTTGTAGGCGGTGGTTGTGTCGGCGCTGCCAAGGAAGTCTTCCCAGTGTGCGATAATCCGTCAACTGATCATCTTGGAGCACAATATCTTAGAAAACTTTGACACTCTCCGGATCTCTTATTGCTACAGTTACACAGATAGGAACGTGGGTGGCCGTGACCCCCTCACCCACCAGTCGTGGGCTGGCCGTGACCCCTCACCCACCAGTCGTGGGCTGGCCATGCTGGGGGACAGGATCGATTGCAGAATATTGCCAGGAAAAATTAATGTGCACTAATACCAAGGAAAACCTACTTCCCCTATGAGAGAATTGAACTCAAGCTAACCATAGGGGAAGAGTTTCTGTGTTAAATATTCCTTGCGAGTTTCTGCAAGTTTGTGGTGTATATGGGCTCGAGTTTTCCCTAGTAAATATGTCGTTGTTAACTAGTCGTTGGGAATTGGGGGTCGTGGAATAGCCGTCCGACTTCCAGTTCTTTTAACAAGGTGTATAGTGTATTGGTTAGTGTATTGGCTTGCCACTTGGTTAGCTTGAGTTCAATTCTCTCATAGGGGAAGAGTTTATATATATATATATATATATATATATATATATATATATATATATATATATATATATATATATATATATATATATATTAATTGCAGCAGTGTGTGGCGGGGGAGGGGGCCGAGGTGAGGGTTGGAGGAGAGGTGTGGTCGGAGGATAGTGGGGGTTGGGACAGGGAGGATGAATGTGGAGGAGAATGGGATAACTCATCAAAGGAAAGAGATAATTGGCGAGACGCATGACTGAGGCTGCACCCTGATATGTCATCACCAGGGGAGGGAGGTGTGGGGGTGTAGGTAAGGTTGGGGGAAGAGTATGGAGGGAGGGGAAAACGAAAGAAGTAAACATAATAAAAGAGTAGAGTAAAGATAGGGAGAGGAACGAGTATAGATGTAAGAAGATAGAATGAGGAGAACGAAACAATTATTTTAAAAATAGAATGTTGTGGGAGGGTTACAGGTTGATGGATGGGAGGGAAATATATGGTCTCTACAGAATGTATGGTTATGGGAGGGCGTGGAGACAGGTGGGAGGGAGGAGGCAGGTAGGAGGAAGGAGGCAGGTAGGAGGGAGGAGGCAGGTAGGAGGAAGGAGGCAGGTAGGAGGAAGGAAACACATTATGTAGAGACACAAGACAAACGGGAAGACGCTAAATCAAGGAAGAGAGGCAGACTCAAGTAGTGAGCTAAGGAATGGGAGAAGCAAACAAAGATGAGTGTGTGAGAGAGATGCGCCACAGATGTATGAGCTGTGCAATAGACGGCTGAGATGAGTGTGAGGACAAGCCATCAAAGAGAAGATGGGGGAAGCTTTAATTCATCAGAAGCTGTGAAGCTTAACGCCAGAATAATTATCATTCCATTTTATAATTCAGCTCCACAGTTTTTTGGGAAGAAAACGACATTTTCTCGAATATAAATTATAGTTTATATTATAAGTTGGTGTAATAGCTAGATTTGGTTAGGTGTTTTGGTTCTGTCAGCAATTATTTGTAAATATAGGAAGAGGACGAAGCACTGCTCATGAAAAGTTCACATACACATTCTCAGCCATGTGTAATGTGTCTTTCATTCACTATCATGGGGGCTTATTGGATGGTTTAACGAGCATTTGGTATTTGTGCGTCGTGAGTAACGCAGGTGTGCGTCGTGAGTGACGCAGGTGTGCGTCGTGAGTGACGCAGGTGTGCGTCGTGAGTGACGCAGGTGCGCCTAGTGTACCACCGTGTTGGGCCATTCGTTACAACTAGACAGTTTTAGAGGCCCTTAACTGCACGTGTTCTGAGTGCAAATGTTACTGAAGGGTTGACTGGGGAAGAGAAAGAGGGGGAGGGATGAGGAAGGGACTGGAGGGGATGGGGAAGGGACTGGAGAATGAGGGAAGGGACTGGAGGATGAGGGGAGGCAGTAGGAGAGAAAGGGGCGGTCAACCATGAGAGAGAATGAGGGTAAATAGGATGAGACGAGCTCTAAAATAATGGGGAGGAGGATGAGAAGGAAGGTAGTCATACTACTTAACAGTTGCTGGATGAGATAGTATGATCACACACAGCAACCTACCGCGTCTGGGAGACAGAGCAAGAGTATGAAAGAGTATACAGGCAAGTATGACGAAAAGCAATCATCACACACTACCAAATGTCACTCTTACATGTACTTTACTCCCAGCTGATAGCAAAACATGTGAAACAATAGAGTTCAAAACAATATTTCTTGTTGAAATAACATTTTGTAATGCCCTGGTGAACAGTGAAGCCACCCGGAGGACCACGGATCATTAAGACAAAATCCTAACCAAAACAAAGCTCACTAGGAATGATCAGCACTAGGGAGGCGTCGGCAACCAGCCTCTAAGAGAAATAAGCAGATTTTTAAAGGTGTTGGTTTCAAGGTATCAACACAAGCTTCTCCGGATGCAGTGGAAGAATATCGGTAGAGGTGCAGGCGATGAGTCACAATAACGTGGCTGAAGTATGTTGACCAGACAACACACTAGAAATTGAAGGGACGACGACGTTTCGGTCCGTCCTGGACCATTCTCAAGTCGATTGTGATGAGGAGGTAGGGACAGGCAAGGGACAGGCAAATGTTTCACATGTCTCTTGCCTATTTATTGCCTGTCCTTACCTCCTCATCACAATCGACTTGAGAATGGTCCAGGACGGACCGAAACGTCGTCGTCCCTTCAATTTCTAGTGTGTGGTCTGGTCAACATCGGTAGAGGTCACACACAGAGATCACACTAACGTGATGCATCAAATGAACAAATCCACAAATCGTAGCTCAGTCGATTAAGGCAGTGTCTGGGATGCTCCCGGACGCAGGTTCGAATCCTGGTCACGGCCCTTGTGGATTTGTTTATCGGTAGAGGTATTATAAGGTTTAGCATCAAGTCACTTTGAAGGTGGTTTTCGCAACTGAAATAACAGACGATTGTTGTAATGAAAAAATCAGACTACAGTATAGTCATTCGTTTAGATATTCATACTACATGTATGTCTATATGAATGTATACATGTCTAGACGGTGGAGGCAGGCAGACGAGCGAGAATACATGGAGGAAACAGTTGTTGGGAAACCTATCAGCCAGAACTAGTCAGATGAACAATAGCCAAGACTGAGGCAATATAAAATGTGAACACCCCTAAAGACAAGGGGGTCCAAATACACTTGAGCCAGCCTTCACACTATCCATTCTTACCAAACTCACTCAATCCAACCCAACCCATCCCAATCAATGTTTACCCATCCACTGAATCCATCCGTACACATTCCTTCCTAAACAATTCTAGCCTCATTCACCATTTAAGCCGCTTGTAATCCCCCTGCACCCTGTGTCTCAGACCAGCAGGGTTGCCAACCTACCAAACACGAACATTGTATTGTTAATCCAAAAACTGAGTTTTTTAACTATTATGTAAAAAATAAATATAAAAAATATATGTGAATGAAGGTAATAGAGTGAGTGCCCAGGCTATATTTAGCAGAAGTTGGGGATAATTACCATTAAGGATTCTCGGGTGGCTATTATTTTTGTGGGGTTTTGTGAAGTTATTGTGGGAATACTGTTGGGTGTGTTGTCCTCTAAATTTACTCACCTAGATGTGCTTGCAAAGTCGAGCCGTAGCTCCAGAACCCAGCCTTATCGGTTGTCTAATGCTGTGATGTGCGATCTTCCTGTTCCTTGTCATGTAACATCTTGCAGAAAAAGAGTAACGTGAGTGAAAATAAAACGCCCAACCCACCATTTTCTTCTGAAAATATAGAAAGTGATGAAGTTTCGGGCCGTCCTCAGCCTTTATCAATTCCTGTCAAGAGTCAATAATTCGTAAAGAGTCAATATATAATAAAGTAATAATGTAAGGAAATGTGAGAAAGTAAGAAGAAAGCCACAGCAGTAATAGGAAGAGACAGAGGTGAAGGTGGAAGTAGACAAAATAGAACAGCAGAAGAGGGAGAGAAAGAGAGAACCTAGATGAGTAAAAGTTGATTCAAATCAACTTTAAGAAGATTAGAGCATTTAACTCTCTATTGAGAATGAATATGCAAAAAATCAACAACATGGGCCAGTAAATATTATTTTAGACGAAGATCTTCTTTTGATAATTACTTACATACTTACTTAGAAAACCTATGTATAGGATATTTAGTCCCTAACATGACAGAAGTGAACATTGTTTGTGTCTGCAGTCTGGTGTTTGGTTTGTGTTTTGCTCCACGTTGCAGGCGGCAAACTCCTCCGGCTCCTAAATTCAGTGCTTACAAATATCGTATTTGCCGATGCTATCCTTTTCCCTCTAGTGCTCCGCGAGAGAGAGAGAGAGAGAGAGAGAGAGAGAGAGAGAGAGAGAGAGAGACTGAGAGAGAAAGAGAAAGTAAGTTTCGCGGTTAGTTTAGGTTAGCTTGTAACTTGTGGTCCTAAGACTAACTTGCTCCAACTTGAAGTCTCTCTCCCAAGTGATCACACGACGCACCATTATCGGCGCTTCTTTGATCCCTAACTTAAGGGAGAATGAAGTGGAAGGGAGGAGACGGACAAGAACAGGAAAGGAATGGGAGAGGTACGAATGTGGGATGTGAGGAAGTTAGGGTACGAAGAGGAAGGACCATTAGTGGTCCGTGGGGACTGGTAGCGGTCCGTGGGGACTGGTAGCGGTCCATGGGGGACTGGTAGCGGTCCGTGGGGGACTGGTAGCGGTCCGTGGGGACTGGTAGCGGTCCATGGGGGACTGGTAGCGGTCCGTGGGGGACTGGTAGCGGTCCGTGGGGGACTGGTAGCGGTCCGTGGGGGACTGGTAGCGGTCCATGGGGGACTGGTAGCGGTCCATGGGGGACTGGTAGCGGTCCATGGGGACTGGTAGCGGTCCGTGGGGGACTGGTAGCGGTCCGTGGGGGACTGGTAGCGGTCCATGGGGGACTGGTAGCGGTCCATGGGGGACTGGTAGCGGTCCATGGGGGACTGGTAGCGGTCCATGGGGGACTGGTAGCGGTCCATGGGGGACTGGTAGCGGTCCATGGGGGACTGGTAGCGGTCCATGGGGGACTGGTAGCGGTCCGTGGGGGACTGGTAGCGGTCCATGGGGACTGGTAGCGGTCCATGGGGGACTGGTAGCGGTCCATGGGGGACTGGTAGCGGTCCATGGGGGACTGGTAGCGGTCCGTGGGGGACTGGTAGCGGTCCGTGGGGACTGGTAGCGGTAGTGGTAGACTTTGAGACTGAGTATATGAAAAACATGAACCAAAACAGGACTCTGGGGTCTGCAGGGCTCTGCAGGGCTCTGGGGTCTGCAGGACTCTGCAGGGCTCTGGGGTCTGCAGGACTCTGGGGTCTGCAGGACTCTGGGGTCTGCAGGACTCAGGGGACTGCAGGGGTATTCTAAGTAATTAGATTGTGAGTCCTCCAAGGGACTAGAGAGTTTTAGTAGTGAATTATTGATCAAGGTTGTGTTACCTGCGTGGCTGTTCATCCCGTGGAGCCCAGCATCCCTCGTATCTCGCTCCAAGTATCTCGAAGCATTCTCCAGCATCCCTCATCTTCTCCTCCCCCAATCTTGCCTTCCATTACCCTATATATACTCACTTCCATCTCCCTCTCAGTAGGTTATGAGATAGAGCACGCGAGAGGGCGCGCCAGAGCCCACTAGTGTTCGTATATATATATATATATATATATATATATATATATATATATATATATATATATATATATATATATATATATAGTGTAGTGCTAATGGTAAAGGGAAAGTAACTAAAACCCTATACAGAAAAAATACTTCAAATATCCCATTAAATCATTGACAATAACGATAAAAAAAATCCACTGGGAATTTTTTGTTCTTTAAGGTCTGATGAATTTCTTGAATGTGCGAGTGTGTGCGCGCGCGCGTGTGTGTGTACTTATCAAGCAGAGGTGAATGGTCCCCAACCTTTTTTTTTTTCTTCTGTGGGTCGTTAGAATCATGGCTTTCCGACTTCGGTGTTGCAAATCGGGTCTGCTGTTGCAACACTGGGTAGAGTTCGCCTCTAGTATCTTTCCTTCACATTTTTTTTTGAGATATATACAAGAGTTGTTACATTCTTGTACAGCCACTAGTACGCGTAGCGTTTCGGGCAGGTCCCTGGAATACGATCCACGCCGCGAAGAATCGTTTTTTCATCCAAGGTGAAATTTTACTGTTGCGTTAAACAGAGGCTACAGTTAAGGAATTGCGCCCAGTAAATCCTCCCCGGCCAGGATACGAACCCATGACATAGCGCTCGCGGAACGCCAGTCGAGTGTCTTACCACTACACCACGGAGACTGTGTATCATTCATTATTATATTGGGTCTCTGACATGATGCTGTACAAATGCTTGCAGGCGTTGCTGTGGCTCATCTCCGTGTGCGACATTCGTGCAAGGTCTCTCTCTTTCTCTTCTGACTACACCTGAATATTATGCGTGTCAACTCAAGGTGATACCCGTAACTTGTAAGTCTGGATCATGTCTCCTCTAGCTCTCCTCTCTTGAAGCCACGTAATATGTAGTTCCAGTATTCTGTCCTTGTATCTCAATTTCCTCTGTTCAGGGACAAGTGAGAGAGGGAGGGCGGCGGAGGATGAGAAAGGGAGACTTGAGTGAGAGGGGAAACACGAGGTAAAAAACGTAAGAAAATGGGAAAGGGGAGAGTGACGCTAAGGAAGAGGAGGAACGATGATTAGAGGCTCATTGAGAGAGGGGGAGGAAGAGGGAGATAGCACCAAGGGAGAGGGGAATATAGACGACACATTCTGGGAAGCTGATCTGATCCACTGAGGTGAAGCAGTGGCGGTGTGTGGGGTACTCACCTAATGGTGCTGGCCGGGGTTGAGTTTCGGCTCTTTTTCGCTTCTCGAGTGTCAATGTACTGTTGTGCAGGTTCCTGAGCCTACTGGGCTCTATCATATCTACATCTGAAACTGTGTATGGAGTCAGCCTCCACCACATCACTTCCTAGTGCATTCCATTTACTTACTACTCTGACACTAAAAAAGTTTTTTTCTAATATCTCTGTGGATTATTTGGGTACTCAGCTTCCACCTGTGTCCCCTTGTGGGTGTACCGCCCGTGTTAAATAATCCATCCTTGTCTACCCCTGTCAATTCCCCTGAAAATTTTGTATGTGGTGATCATGTCTCCCCGAACTCTTCTGTCTTCCAGCGACGTGAGGTGCAGTTCACGCAGCCTTTGCTCGTAAATCATGCCTTTTAGTTCTGGGACCTTTGAACTTTCTCTAGCTATGTTTTATGGTGCTTGACAAAGAATGGACTCCATGTTGGGGCCGCATACTCCAGGACTGGTCTGATATACGTGGTATACACGGTCCTGAAGGAATCCTTACACAAGTTTCTAAAGGCAGTTCTGATGCTAACTAGCCTCGCGTATGCCGCTGATGATATCTAGATGGTGTGGGGGCGGGCCGAGGAGTTTTTTGGAAGGCGGTGGGGGTGGGGGGGGGGGGGGGGAGGGGTGTTGTGGGGGAGGAACTGGGGATGGGGGGGGGGGAAACTGGCAGGTTGTGGCTTCAGGATAGTATCAGGAGGCTGAGGTATAAGGAGACGGCTCATTATATCTTTAGGTCCTTGCGAACATACAAGCAAAATGAAGCGAGGGAACACACAACAAGCGAAATAAATCCGAAATACTTGACTGCGGGTCGCATTCAACATATATAACTGTACAAGACATTAACTAAAGCAGATCTGGAGCAGCTTTCGAGACTGGAGTCAGCGCTGATATACCTCGCTGAGCCGTCCTGCCTGGCGACCGCTCGAGCGGATACCTGTAACGAAGGAGGACACAGCCGGCATACGAGCGCTTGGTCGGGCAAACGTGACCTGTGTGCAGGTGAAGGATAGTCGACCCTGGCGCTGCTCCGCTCGCCAGTCTACCACACACACACAGAGAGAAGTCAGTCACACGAGGTGGTCAGATGCGGGCGACTAATGGCATATTGCCTAATCTACACGTATTATCCGGATGACGAGTCTCTGTGTGTGTGGGTCCTTAACGGTCCTTAACGGGCTGATTGTGGTCTCTCCCTCTGGCTAGTTGGTCTCGCTGCCAGGTCTTGCGGTCAGATCATCAAGAATGGGAAAACCTCTACGTTCTTAAGCTTTCAACATTAACAGATAATATTAACATTTCAGTAGGGATTACAAAATTTAATTTGTATTAAATTATGTAAGACCATATTTTTATATTGAAAATAATAATCAATAATTTATAAAACAAATTCCATCAAGATTCTTCTAAGTGTTACATTAGAGAATTTTTGCAATAAATATAAACTCAGAAGTGTCCAATGAACAAATCCACAAGGGCCGTGACGAGGATTCGAACCTGCGTCCGAGAGCATCCCAGACGCTGCCTTAATCGCCTGAGCTACGACATGGTCAATGGTGACCATGGTGCGTTCATTTGACGCATCACGCAATTTTGATTCCTGTGTGTCAGAAGTGTTCACCTGTTAAATGATTCCATAGCATCGCTATTTGCTTAAAAATATGGGTTGAATATTGTTTTGGATTTAAAGACGCGGGGGACGGGGTTATCTTGAGTGTATCTTGGTTATCTTGAAATGATTTCGGGGCTTTTTTTTTTTTAGTGTCCCCGCGGCCCGGTCCTCGACCAGGCCTCCACCCCCAGGAAGCAGCCCGTGACAGCTGACTAACACCCAGGTACCTATTTTACTGCTAGGTAACAGAGGCATAGGGTGCAGAAACTATGCCCATTGTTTCTCGCCGGCGTCTGGGATCGAACCCAGGACAACAGGATTACAAGTCCAGCGTGCTGTCCGCTCGGCCGACCGGCTCCCTAACCGGGGGGGTGGGAGGACTGGTCAGTTTCCCAAGATAGCCACAAGGGAGCTAGTGTCTCTCCGTCCGTCTCTCTTCCTGCGTCCCAACACCTTTTCCCGAATCAAATGATTATGAGGTCAGGATGTGAAAGATGAAGAAGCTGCCTATCAGGGTAAAGAGTGGTCCTTCCCCGGGGCTTTACCAAGCTGGGAGGTGTGACCCTTTCTCTCCCACTGATGGAGGAGGAAGGGGGGCGACGTCTCTTCTCCTGTGATGAAAGGTGGAGACGTCTCTTCCCCTGTGATGAAAGGTGGAGACGTCTCTTCCCCTGTGATGGAAGGTGGAGACGTCTCTTCCCCTGTGATGAAAGGTGGAGACGTCTCTTCCCCTGTGATGAAAGGTGGAGACGTCTCTTACCACTGTGAAGGAGTGGGGACAATCTCCCCACTAGTAGAGTTGAGTATACATTCATTTGGCTACCTGTAAACCAGTCGAATTTTAAAGGTGTTTGTGCTTGCCTTCTACTTCTTCCCATCTCTCTCTCTCTCTGTCTCTCTCTCTCTGTCTCTGTCTCTGTCTCTGTCTCTGTCTCTCTCTCTCTCTCTCTCTCTCTCTCTCTCTCTCTCTCTCTCTCTCTCTCTCTCTCTCTCTCTCTCTCTCTCTCTCTCTCTCTCTCTCTCTCTGTCCGTTCTCTGCAACGGTCTGACATCAGGGAGTCTTGGCAACGCGAGTCTCCATCTTTATTAAGAATATTCTATGGTGAAGCAATTTTCTTTGCTAGTTTTACCCACCAGAAACTTTTATCATCAAGGTAAACGTTCCCACAAACTTAGGCAGACACACTTACTTGGCTCAACTGTTCTTGGAGGAGTCCTTGTGGGTTATTTGGTTGGAGGGGGGGGGGGGGGGGGGATGTTATGTCTGGGTGAGGCGTTATGTGGGGGCTTTTGCCTGTGTGTGTGGGGGGGGGGGTGTTATGTCTAGGGAGGGGGGATTGTCTTGGTGGGGGGGGGGGGGGTTGGAGGGGTTATTTCCTTGGGAGGTTGACTTCTACAGGTTGCCTTGAGGGAGATGCCTTGAGGGTGTGAGAGGAAGAAGACAGTATATAAGGTCATACGTGGCAGCCTCGCATTAATTACACATACGGGTGCCGTATTATTTTATTTATTTTATTTATATATATACAAGAAGGTACATTGGGTTTGTGAGAATACATTGGATAGTACAGTATTTACACTCTTGTAAAGTCACTAGTACG